GCCTCCTGAGCAGCTGGGATTACAGGCACGCGCCACCATGCCCAGCTAATTTTTTGTAGCCTTAGTAGAGACGGGGTTTCACCATGTTGACCAGGATGGTCTCGATCTCTTGACCTCGTGATCCACCCGCCTCGGCCTCCCACAGTGCTGGGATTACAGGCTTGAGCCACCGCGCCCGGCTACAAAATAAATTCTAATAATTGTTGTTGTAAAAGAAATGACATAAGATGTCATTTGCCAAATGACAAGATGGGTTTCACCATATTAGCCAGGCTGACTTCGAACTCCTGACCTCGTGATCTGCCCACCTCAGCCTCCCAAAGTGCTGGGATTACAAGCGTAAGCCACTACGCCTGGCCCATGTTTGGGGTCTTGCTATGTAGACCAAGCTGGTCTCAAACTCCTGGCCTCAAGGGATCTTCCCATCTCGGCCTTTCAAAGTGCTGGGATTAGAGACGTGAACCATGACTCCCGGCCTGTTTTGTTTTGTTTTCTGTTTTTTAGAGCCACGCTCTGTCACCCAGGCTGGAATCTAGTGGCACAATCACAGTTCACTGCATCCTCAACCTCCTGGGCTCAAGTGATCCTCCTGCCTCATCCTCCAAGTAGCTGGATCCACAGGCGAGCGCCACCGCATCTGGCTAATTTATTTTGTAGAGATGGGGTCTTGGGTTCTGTGTGGTTCTGACTGTGCCACCCTGAAGATAGGCCTGGACCAAATGATCATCTTCAATGTACTATTCTGACGCTCCACCCCTGCTGACTTGTTTTGAGAGTTGAGGTGCTTTGCTTTCTTTCAGTCTTGCCAAAACACTGCAATGCTAACAGTTTTTGTCTTACTAAATATGAAACGTATCTCTCTATTCCTTTTTCCTGTGCCTCGATTCCCACAGCCCTCACTATCGAATTTGCAGGATCCCAGCACCTCTGTACCAAGCATACATGAGAGGATGGAACAGTGTTGAGGAAACTCAACATTTTTTTTTTTTTTTTCCTGAGACAGAGTCTTACTCTGTCACCCAGGCTGGAGTGCAGTGTGGCATGATCTTGGCTCACTGCAACCACTACCTCCCAGGTTCAAGTGATTCTTGGGCCTCAACTGCCTGAGTAGCTGGGATTACAGGCATGCACCACCATGCCTGGCTAATTTTCATATTTTTAGTAGAGATGGGACTTCACCATGTTGGCCAAGCTAGTCTTGAACTCCTGGTCTCAAGTGATCTGCCCATCTTGGCCTCCCAAAGTGCTGGGATTACAGGCCTGAGCCACTGCGCCCAGCCTTGCAGTACATTTTCATTAATACCACCTCTAATTTTCAGCATTGAGGTCTTAGGGATCAGTCCATGGGCTGATGGCCTGGAGAAGCTGTTGCTACTGCCAAGATGGGTACAATAATTTGAGAAAGAGTTGCTATTGCTCTAAAAAGGAAGAGGGTTGGTGTATACATTGTACCACCAGAATAGTTCAAAATCAACTCTGGTTGGTTGGTTTGAGCCAGGGTCTCGCTCTGTCACCCAGGCTGGAGTGCAGTGGTGCTATCATAGCTCACTGTTGGCCTCCCAGGCTCAAGAGATCCTCCCACCTCAGCCTCCTGAGTAGCTGGGACCACAGATGCACACCATCATGCCCAGTTAATTTTGCTCAATTTTTGTAGAGATGGGGTCTCACTGTGTTGCCCAGGCTGGTGTCGAACTCCTGGGCTCAAGGGTTCTTCCTGCATTGGCCTCCTAAATGCTAGGATTACAGGCATGAGCCACCGCACATGGCCTCATTTATTTGTGTTTTTTAGTGATGTGAAAAAAATGACATATAACTCTTCTGTTAATTTATTTGACTATCTGTGAGGCTGAAACTTTTTAATGTGTTAGTTGAAACTCCGGTTTTAAACAGTCTCTCTCGTCCTCTGGCAAAGCATCCAGGGATGGAGATGGGTAGATACTTGCTGGTTTCCCGGCTTTCTCATAGTAGTCATTTATTGAAGACAGTGTGCTGGAGCTCCGTCCTAAGCACTTTACTTAGACCATCATCCTACAACCTTGTGAGGTAGATACTGTCCCTAATTTACGGATGAGGACACAGATGCTCACATATTGAAGGTCATATATTTATAAAATGGCAGGACTGAGATTTGAACTCAGAAATGTGAATTCATCCTGAATTTAAAGACTTGGTTCTTGGATTGGTGAGAACATTTGTGCAGGTTTTACTTCCAAACATTCACTCTTTTTTTAAATTTAATTTTTTTTTAATTTTTATTTTTTTTTTTTGAGACAAGGTCTCTCTCTTGTTACGCAGACTGGAGTGCAGTAGCACGATCACCATTCATTGCAGCCTCGATGTCCCAGGCTCAAGTGATCCTCCCACTTCAGTCTCCCAAGTAGCTAGGACTAGACTACAGGCACGCAACACCATGCCCCGCTGGGTTTTTGGGGTTTTTTAAGAGAAGAGTTCTCACTATGTTGCCCAGACTATGCGCATTCAGGAGTAAAACCCAGCATACAGATCTCCAACCCCATACCCGGATTTCTTTACCACCCTTCCCAGGACAGACAGGAGACCAAGGGAGAGCAGGCATCATTTCTCTCTGTACAGTTTTCAATTTTTTATTTTTTGATGTTTTTTGTTCAGATGAATGACACACTCAAGTTACAAAAATGGGGCCTTAAAAGAAGCACATTGTACAATGAACAAGCAGATTGGAGTTAAGAACACTGAAACACTAATCCGCTACCACGAGAAGAGACAGGGAGTAGGTACAGGAAGAGAAGGAAGGGGCTACCAACACAGGGGTCAGACGGAACTGAAAAGGAGGCAAACTTGGTGAGGATAGAGGAAAGGCAGGTCTACTCTGGGGCTGATTTCTGGATGCCACTTTTGGGCACCCTTGCCTTGTTCTTGCCACCCCCTCCAACTCCACTCACCCCCATTGTGTCTGACCTGGTTATTCTGGGAGGTGAGAGACACCCACACCAAAATGGGCTGAGCCAATCAGGTCTTTACAAGGTAGGGTGGTCAACTTACCCTAGTGCAGCCCAGGATTTGGAAGGTGATGGTGGCAGCAGTGGGACAAGAGGCCAGAAAGGAGCTGATCAAAGTTCAGGCCCCTGCTCTTCCCAAAGACTTCTTGCCCTTTCCCCACCCCACCATGATCCAAAGGCCCTCTACGAGTTGTCGAGAGAGACCCCCAGTCACCCTGCAATTATATAAATAAATAAATACTGAGCCCCTGGGTTTGGGGGACAGGTTGGGGGAGGGGCAGCAAGGATAGAAGACAGGAAAAAGGAAGGGGAGGGAGGCAGAGGGAAGAGGTCACAGACAAAGTAAATAGTTGTCTCCGTCCCAGCAATACTTCTCTCTGGATTTTTCTCTCCTTTTCTTGTTTGTTTAACAAGGAGCTAACAATTCAAGGACAAATACTTAAAAATATACATTATTTTTTCTTTGTTTCCGCTTTTGTCATCGTCGTCTTGCTTTGGAGACTGCTGAGGTCAAAGTTTAAACCGCATGAAGGACCTGCGGCTTGGAGTTTTTGTGTATTTTTTTTTTTAATTTTTATTTTTAAATTTTTTTCACTTTTTTTTCCAACGTATAAAAAGGTAGCGGAGTTGTCTGTGGGTTTTTTTTTTTTTTAATGGTTAAATCTTTGGTTTGTTTCTTTTTTCTCTTGGAGGCCTTTATCTCTCGCACTTGCCTTTCCCACTCAGAGACCAGTGGGGGCCCGCGTGTCTCAATCTTGCTGTCTGTCTCACTCTCTCTCTCACTCAGGTCCCCCTACCCTGGGCTAGAGGAAGAGAGAAGCACCCTGGGATTCGGGTGGGTTAGAAAAACTAGTCAGGTCAAGAGTTCACCCTGACTTGGCTAGTTCCTTGCCAAATCTCCCCAGGGCTTGGAGAGCCTGTCATGGTCTTCTCCAGGGAGGAGATGGGTGGAAAGCTCATATCCTTCCCCTCCTCCTGATCACAGCCCCAACTCCTACTGTGGCTTAGGTTCCCCATCCCTACCAGCCTCCCCCCCGCACTCCCCCAACCCCCAGAAGAGAACAGAGAGAGGTGGTTTAGTTACTGGCATCAATTTTTTTTTGGCACAATGAAAAGGCCTACCATTAAGGTAGACCCAGTCTCTGTCCCTCCCTTAAGTAGGAGGTCAGGGTTGGGGAGAAGAGAAATTCAGAAGGCTCCCCACTGCTCCAATCCACTCATCTCTCCTCTCTTTCTAGCCCAGGCCCTCAGCCCCCAACCTTGGACATCTAACCTAGCCCAGAGCCTAGCCTGGGGTTTCCCTCCCTATCCCCCACATAAAGCTCCCCAGCCCTCGAACTCTCTCGCTCACACACAGACACACGGACACAGGCTCTGTACAGACCGCAACATAAAAACGATGAGATAGTTTTGTTTCCCGGAGTCGAGACGGGGGACCCGAGTGGAAGGGACAGATGGGGGTGGGGGGCATGAATTCCCCCATCACCTTCCCAATCCTGGCTCCCTCCAGCCCCCCAGCCCCTTGCCCTGGCTGGCCCCCAGCCAACGATATTTGGTTTCCTTTTTTTAACATTAAAGTTCTATGAGGTATTTGGTGCCTTATCTCGAGTCCTCGGGGGAGGGGGGCCCAGGGGGAGACCTGGGGCTCACCTGCCCCTCCCTCCCTCCTACCCCCTTCCCAATATTTGGTTTCACAGCTGTAGTTAAAGCTTGGGATTTGGTTATTTTTCCCCCTCCCAGGAATTTTCTTTTTTCTTGTTTTTCTTTTCCCAGTTGTGAGGATTGGATGGGGAGGGTCCCCAGCACCCCGGCTGCACAGGGGTCCCTCCACCAATGTCAGGGCTTCTGCCCCATCCCTGCCTCCTGCTCCTCCTCTTCTCTTTGCCCCACTCCCCAACACTGGGGTGTGGAGAAGTCCCAGGTGGTGGGACTTGATGGGGTGGAAGCAGGATGAAGTGGGTGGTGGTTGAGTACTGGATTTTCTTTCCTTTTTTTTTTCCTTTTTGGTCTAGAATCATAGTTTTTGAGTCATCTCCACCATGCCTTCCATGCTGCCTGTCTTCTCGGAGGGGGTTTTGGTTGTAATTCCTTTCATTTTGCTCTGCTCACATGTCCTTCCTATTTGGTCAGGAGCCCTTGGCCCCCTCTCCACCCTTGGGCTGGGGCCCAAGCCCTCTTGCCAGTCCCTTCTCTCTTCAGGAAATAAACATGGACAAACTCAGAGGTAGGGTAAGGGCAGGGAGTCATTCGGCAGAGATGCTTACATTCCGGCGAGGATGGGTCGACGAGGTGCCAGGCCCCATCGTGCCAGGGGTTGGGGGGCGACCACTCCACCACTGCCCGGACAAGGCACCCGGAGGCCCCTGCAATGGCCGAGTCTCTGCTGCCTCCATGGCCCAGCCCAACAGTTTCATTTCCCAGGTGGGAGAAGGGAGACAAGAAAAAAAGAACGCTGAGGCCTGGGGCTCCATCTGCCTCTCCTCAAGAGTGTCCAGGAGAAAGTGGAAGCTGCCCAGGCCGCGGCCCTGCAGTCTCAGGGCTCTCCCCTCCCTCTGCTCCTGCCCAGTGAGGGGCGGGGGCCACCCTGCGCTGCCAGGCCCCACCCTGATTTCAATGGCTCGCGTCCTTCACTGCAACACTTTGGTTTGAGGAGAGACACAGAAAGAACAAGATTGAGAGAGGAGAGAGGAGAGCAAAGGGAGAGAGAGGAGAGAGAAAAGAGGGAAGGAGAGAGGACAGACAGAAGAGAACCGAAAAAGAAATCAAAGGAGGAATCAAACCACCCGAAAGTTGTTTTCCTTCGTCCGTTCTTTTTGCTTACTCCTTTTTTTCCTTTCTTTTTTTTAAAGCTTTTTCAGTTAATTGCGGGGGGTAGTTTAGGGCTCTTCACCCCTGTCCCTGACACCCTCTCAGCCCCACCCACCCACTTCCATCTGCCCTGGCCGAGGGACTGGCTTGCCCCAGCCGCCCCCTCCGACTTTCCCAAAGACGACGTCCATGAGGTATTTGTGAAGAGAAAGAAGCATTCGTCCTTCTGTCCGCGTTGGGGACCAAGGGCCTGGACCACCAGTGCAGGGGCTTGGCTCCGCCTCACGGCTCTATCTTATTCTTGAAGAGTCCTCATCTTCTTTCCCTTTTATATATATATATAAATTCTTTTTTTCTAGTTTAAATTTATTGTTTGTTTGGTTTTGTTTTTGTTTTTTGGTTCAAAACTTTGTTGGCCTCCACAATAGCAGGAGGGCAGGGTGGCTCCCAGTGGCGTCTCTCCTCTGTCCGTCGTCAGTGGAGATGTGTCCGGGGCTGGGCAAACACAGGGTCCAGCCAAGACTCGTGGAGGTCTCATGGGAGTAGTGGCCACCACCATGCCTTTTCACAAAGGGACCACAGGCTGTGGCACTGTCCCCACACATAGACCCTGATGGGGATGCCATCTCGAGGAACCCCACCACTGGGGTGTGTGCGTGTGTGCATGTGTGGGGAGGGAGAGGCATTCGCCAGTACCAGAGGGGCACGGGATGGGAAAAGCGAGGCGAGTTCTCTTTTTGGTTTCTGGTTAATGTCAAAGAACGTGAAGGATCCCACGGATAGGCACTGGAATATGAATTTTCTTTTTTAGGGAAACTGACAGACAGGATGGAAAAAGACAACTGAATGCCCTCAACTTGAATGCCTTCATCCCCTCTTGCCTGAAACTTCCACCTTCCCATAGGCTGGGGAGGCGGTTGATTCCAGAGAAGAGGAGGGTGACAGGGTTGAGGAGGGACTTGTGAGAGCTAGAACTTGGCAAAATGGCCTAGCTCACCCTTCAAAGGGGAAAGAGGGAGGAAGAGGGGCTGAAAAGTCATCCCCAGGCCTTCCCTTTAACTCTCCCCTTGCTGGGGGGAGGGAGGAGGTTAAAGCAAGACCCCCTGCCCAGGTGGGGAGAGCTGGGGGCCAGGGGAGAAGGGGACACATGGTAGGGACACATTCTGTTGAGCACAACGCTAAAAATTCTGTACATCCTTTGGATGAAGCTACTGAATATTTGGTGTAAGGTTGTTCAGGCCCTTTCTCTTTCACCTTCCGGAAAAGAACATTTGGCGGGTGGTGCCGAGCCCCAGCCCATCTGCCCAGACTGTGCCCTGTCTTCGCTGGTCCAGGGCTGGGGGCCAGGACTAGGAAGCTGGCATCTTCTCTTTTTCCTTCTGTAGCCCCCACTGGGGGAGGCAGGGTTCGGGGTTGGCCCCACAACCAGGGCTCGGTGGCAATGAGGTCTGACCTGCTGGAGGCTTCTCCGCCCCTGGCTGGGGTTCTTATTTGGTGTCGTAGCAGTGAGGGTGTGAGCACACTGAGGTCTGGCTCGCGACTGGTTTTTTGGTTTGTTTGATTTTGTGGTTTTTTTTTTTTTTTTTTTTTTTTTTTGGTTTGGTTTTGGTTTTTTTGTTTTTCACCTCTGGTTCCTTTGGGGCAGCTGGTTTCTGTTGTGATTATTTTTGGTTTTCTCTTTTGTTGGTTAGTTAGTTTCTTTCTTTTTTTTCTTTTTTTTTTGGTTGGTTGGTTTTTTTGGTTGTTCCTCCCTTGTCACTCCTGCTCCGAGGACCCTCTGTGTCCCCACCACTGGCCTCCTTGCCCTCTTCCCAGGCAAGAGACCAAGGCGGGGGTCAGAGGAGTGGGAGGGGAGGCATGGCTGGCCCTCACTCAGGTTTGGACCCTGCCTCGGGTCCCCCTGGGCCTCCAGGGGTCTGTGCTGCTGCCTCACTGCAAGTGGAGGAGGAGGAGGATGAGGATGAAGAGGATGAGGAGGAGAGGCCAGGAGACTTGCTGGAGATGGAGGCTGCCACGGCTGCAGCCGCTGCTGAGACCAAGCCCACGCCAGGCGGGGTGCTGAGCAGGGGCAGCCCAGCATGGTTCAAGAAGAGCGGTGAGGTCACCAGGCCGGGGCTCCCCGGGGCGGCGCCAGCTGCCCCCAGCACCAGGTTCCCGCTGCCATCAAGGCTGGTAAGGGGCAGGGTTCCACCAGAGGCCAGGGCTGGTGGGAAGAGAGAGAGGCTGGGCTGGGGGCACGCCGGGCCAGGGGAGACCTTTGCCTTCCAGCATCCTGCCCAGAGTGCCCCCCATCTCCTCATCGGTCCCACTGACTCCCATCAGCACCCCTCACACCTTCCCCAAAGGTGAGATGGGTATGAAGAGGCGAGCGATGCAGTGAGCAGGGGCGGGATGGCATGGCTGGAGCAGCAATGGCAGGGCTCGAGGCCCCAGAGAATAGGACTGGTGACAATGGGAGTGACATGAGGCAGCACGCACCTTGGATAGTGGCCAAAGGGTTGTTGCTCATGAGGGCTGGACTCAGCCCGGAGCTCAACCCCACCATTGTGCTTCTGCAAGAGGCAAAGCAGAGGCATTAGCAGGGGCAGGGACCTGACAGCATAACTGGGGTGCAGCTCCCCACCCCAGAAGCAGCAGCGACCCTGCTTCTCCCCACAGCCTCCCACCTGCACCCACTTACCCCGTGCTGGGGTTCAGGCCCGACAAGCCGATAGCTGAGTGGCTGCCTTGAGGGCTGGGGTTTGTGCTGTTGGTGGTGGCCGGGGGTGGGGGAGTGACAGAAGGGATGGAATTGAGGGGGGGCGCAGCCCCGCCCCCACCCCCACCCCCTCCAGCTGTCCGGCTGGGGTGGAGCGTCCCCACAGCTGAGGATAAGGTAGTAACTGCCAGAGAGAGACAAAGAGATGAGGTCTTCAGCTTCTACTCATTGCCCACTGAGGAACCTGGGGTTAATTCCTACTTGTCCTCCCGCGTAGCTCATGAAGCATCTCCTCAGTCAAAATAGCCTTAGACCTCCCTGCTCTCTCTTCCCAGAGTCATTTCCCTGTGCCTCTGCCATGGTGACCCCATCATAACAATGGAAGTCAGAACAGCTGCTTCCTGCTGAGCCCTGGCACTCTGCACTCCCCGCCCTGAACCACTTTTATACTGACTAGAAACGGGGATGCCCAGGAGACAAAGCCCTACGGCTCTCTAGGGGCTGGGGAGGGGCAAGGGGTGTCAGGCACGTTGCTACAGCTGAGGGATGGGCAACCTGGCAGGGGCTGAGGGCCCAGATTCAGCCAGACTGCTGGGGTAGAAACTCCTGGTTCTGTGTTGTCCTAGGGGTGCCCCCGGGGGAGTGCCTTAACCTCTCTGACCTTCAGATCCCTTGTCTGGAAAATGGGGATAATAGAAACTATCTCATAAAATGAATTTGAGAATTAAGTCAGTCAATGCAGTTTAGAAAGTGCTCAGTACAGTGCCAGGCAAGCACTTACTACTTTATAAATCTCCACTTACTATTTTCTGGCTTGGGGAAGGACAATATGTTGTTTGTTATGCTAAATATATATTTTAGATGAAATCTCACCCTGTTGCCTAGGCTAGAGTGCAGTGGTATGATCTCAGCGTTTACTGCAACATCCCCCTCCCAGGTTCAAGCAATTCTCCTGCCTCATCCTCCTGAGTAGCTGGGACTACAGATACAAGGCACCACACCGGCTAATTTTTGTATTTTTAGTAGAGACAGGGTTTCCCATGTTGGCCAGGCTAGTCTTGAACTCCTGACCTCAGGTGATCCACGTGCCTCGGCCTCCCAAAGTGCTGGGATTATAGACATAAGCCACTGCACCTGGCCAATTTTATATTACTCATATATATATAAGTATAATGTATAACCATATATATAAACCTGCTGTGTCCCAGGAAGAGGAAGGAGAACTCTGGGTACAAGAGTATGTATGTACGCACGTGTGTGTGTGTATACGTATATACACATACATTTACTCTTGCATGCATGTATTTATATATTTTGTATGTATTACACATTCATAATAATTTTATAAAAACTGAGGCCCAGAAAGGTAAAGTAAGCTCTTGAGTTCACATAGCTTATGAATGACAGAGGCCAGGCACAAAACCCAAGTGCCTCACCTTTTACTACGCCCATGCTTTTCTCATATGAAATTGTGAAGCAGATTAAAGCTGAGTTGCTCCTGCAGAGGAGGGGTGAGTCCTGCCCTCTTCCCACTGCCTCTCCCATTCCCCCACCCACACTCCCCTGGCCCAGTCTTGATACCCAGAGCCACTTGGGAACCTCAGGCTCCAGCCTGTGCCTCATCCTCCCAGTCCCCCCTCACCACCTTCTGCCCTCCCTGACCTGTTGTGCTCAGACTGCTGGAAGCTTGGGACAACGGTAAGGTCCCCGCACCCCCTTGGGGTGTGACCTGGGGAGAGAGGAAAGGAGGTATGGTTAGGCCACTGTCTGCAAGCAGCCCCTGTGATGCTTCCTGCAGGACCCCACTCCTCTGTGTCAGTGGGGGCAGGGGGCTTTGGCACAATGCTGTGTTTGTATTATTCCACGTGCCTTCTTCACACTTGCCCTAGCTGATCCTGAGCCACAAGCAGAAAGGGCTAATTCTCCATTGAAAGCACTCTCCACCTCTCTTCTGACACCGCCCTGCCTGGCTAGTCTCTGCAGGGCTGCGTCCTGTCTGAAGTGACTGCACTGGAAGAGTGGCTGCTCTACATGCTCTTGCTACTGTTGGTTCCACGAAACTAAAACTCTTTTCCCAGGATGAGCAAACACCACTCTTTTACCAGTGGGGTTGGCAAGTAATGCAGGAGAGACTGTTCAAAGTGACCCAGGCAAGGAAAAGAGCAGGTCTAAAGTATGAGGCTAAATGGATGCATATCTTTGCATCAGGGTGTTGAGATGTCATATTACTTGATTTTCTGGAACCATACACCAGCTTCCTTCTTGGCCACTGCACCTCCAGTCTCACCTTTGCATCAGCCCCAGAAACCTCACAAATGTAACCCTGTCCTTCCCCAGCTCAAAACCCCTCCTTACCTCCACACTACCCATGGTTCAAGTTCCAGCTCTTCACTGTAAAACTTGAGGTACATGCCCCCACCCCATCCCCAACCTCATTCATATGAACTGCAGCACCAACCACACTAAATTTGCACTGGAGTTCCTCAGATTGGGCTGGGCACACCCTGGCTTCTAGGCCTTAGTGCACACTGGTCCTGGAAGGCCCTTCACCTTCTCGTGGCTGGCTAACTCTCCCTTGTCCTTTAGAACTCAGTTCAGACAGTGCCTCCTTCATACCACTGGGGGCGGGGGCTCCTCTCTGAAGCATCACAGCCCTTTCCAGGAATGGAAATAAAGGGATGGGATAAAGGATGTCCCAGCTGTGTCTGATACCAAGTGGGCCTGTGTGCAGCTGTGGACCTGAGAGGACAGCATGGGTGTAACAGTGTCCCTGAATGGCAAATAAGTGCCTCTCCCTGCCTCTGTGTGGTTGTGAGCCTGTGTGTTTCAACCTGGACCACGTCCCTGGACATACATCCCTCCCTCTGTGGCTATGGTACTGTGATAACTCTGTGTCTGGCTATGTAGGTGTGTATCTAGGGGTGCTTGTATCCCCCACATAAGACCATAGTTCCCTGGAAACTGTGTCCTTGTGTGACTGTGCCTGTCTACATGATGGCCTGTCCCCAAGAGTGGCTCTCTTTGTCTCTGTTCTAGGTTCTGTGGACAACCAGGTAGGGTGGGCTTCACAGAGGAGCTCTGTGGTTTCCCACCCCCTAGACGGGCTCTTGGTACCATATGGGGGCTGTAGCTGGCCGGCTTCCCTGGGCTGGGCAGCATGGGGGCCGCACTGCAGGGGTTGATGCGTTTCTCCTTCTGGCGCCGGTTGCAGAACCAGACGCGGATCACTTCCTTCTCCATGTGCAGCTGCTCGGCGATCAGCAGGATCTCCTCTGAGGTAGGCTTCTGGTTCTGCAGGCAGAGGGCTCATTAGCCTGGGGCCCACCGCCCACCACCCCTCAGGTGAGGGCCACCCAGGACTGGGGGGGGCTCACCGCTAGAAAACTCTTCTCTAAGGCGAAGCGGACGTTTGTCTCAATGCTGGTCCTCTTCTTGCGTCTACGGCCAGGCAGCCCATCGAAACCCAGACTGGGGCTGCTCAGTTGGTTGGGGCTGGGCAGGCTTGAGTCCACAGACATAGTCTCTGTGCCCCGGGGGATATGTGAGCATGAGAGGGCGCCTCCCATGGCCACCGGCTGCTGCCCGCCCCCCACATGGGATCCCCAGCCTAATCCCACCTGCGTCGTTGAGCCACTTCTCCAAGAGGGGCTTGAGTTTGCACATGTTCTTGAAGCTCAGGTTGAGGGCCTCAAAGCGGGAAATGGTTGTCTGGCTAAAGTCGTTGCCGTAGAGCTTGCCCATGGCCAGGCCCACATCACCCTAAGCCAGTGGAGTGGGTAAGGGGCGGAGGTCAGGGCAGGGCCTTTCGGCATTAGGCCCACTGCGCCCACCGACTGGCCACGCTCCTCGTGGCATCCATCAACTATCCATGCCCCCACACCCACTGCCCAGCCTGCAAGGTGGCTCCAGACCTGGGTGAAGCCCAGCTTGATGCGGCGTTGCTTGAAGGTGCGGGCAAACTGCTCCAGCTCCTCCAGATCACTGGGCTCCTCGGGGTGGGATGGTGGCTCCAAGCATTTGGGGGGCTGCGGATGCGAGAGGTGCGGGTCGGGCAGCGTAGGGCGGGTCACAGCCTGGTGGGGTTGGCAGGTGGGTGGGATGCAGGGCAGAGGACCAGGATGGGGCTCAGCAATGGGTGCCCAGTCCCCCTCCCTCCCTCCTCACCCCTGCATTCCATCCTCCGCCTGCAGACTCCCCTCCATCTTCTTCCACACGCACTGTCAATCCCTTTCAAGGTCCGACTCTGCTGCCCTACATGGGTTTCCTCATTGCTTGGGATTCTGCATTGTCCCTTCACGCCTGGGAACTCCCAGAAGGAGCCGCCAGCTTTTTGTGCCAGGGCTCCTTCCCTGAAGCCGAAGGCAGTGGTTCATGGTCATCTCAACCAGGGAATCAAGGACTGGCCCTGCCACCAAATCATTGCTTAGCCCAGGCCTCACTTTCCCCCTGTGCAGGATGGGAACAATCACTGCTGCTCTGTCTACCAATAAGGCTGTTGAGAGAATGAGGTAGGTCGTGCAAATCCATGGTACAACACCAAGAGTGAACCCTAATGTCAACTATGAACTTTGGGTAATAGTGATGTGTCATTGTAGGTTCATCATTTGTTACACTTGTCCCACTCTGGTTAGGGATGTAGATAATGCGGGAAGCTGTGCCTATGCAGAGAGATATATGGGATATCTCTGTATCTTCTACTCAGTTTTGCTGTGAATCTAAAACTGCTCTTAAGAAATTAAGTCCTAAGCAATGAGTAAACTGCAAATAAACTGAAAATTAAAAAAAAAAATGGACTGAGAGGGCAATTAGGGAGATTTACAAAAAAAGCAACAGCTCTATCTGGGATGCTTCATTGCCCTAAAAATAAGAGATCTGAAGCAGGTAGTAGTTGTAGGGATGTCTTGTCACCTAGGTCCTTGATCCAATATTCTCCAAAATGCTGGGGCCAGATGTTTAGGACTTTTTCTGTTTTTTTTTTTTTTTTTTTTTTTTTTTTTAGATGGAGTTTCACTCTTGTTGCCCAAGCTGGGGTACAATGGCGTGATCTCGGCTTACCGCAACCTCCGCCTCCTGGGTTCAAGCGATTCTTCTGCCTCAGCCTCCTGAGTAGCTGGGATTATAGGCACTGCCACCATGCCCAGCTAATTTTGTATTTTTAGTAGAGACAGGGTTTCTCCATTTTGGTCAGGCGGGTCTCAAACTCCTGACCTCAGGTGATCCGCCCACCTCAACCTCCCAAAATGCTGGGATTACAGGTGTGAGCCACTGCACCCGGCCTTTTCTTTTTAAAATTGTATAAATTTAAGGCCAGCCTTAAGCCAGATACAGTGACTCATGCCTGTAATTCCAGTACTTTTGGAAGCCAAGGTGGGAGGATTGCTTGAGCACAAGAATTTGAGACCATCCTGGGCAACATGGCGAAACCCTATCTCTACAAAAATTTTAAACATTAGCTGAGCATGTGCGTCATGCCTGTATTACTAGCTACTCAGGGGGGCTGGGGACCGCTTCGCTTGAGCCCAGGAGGCTGAGGCTACAGTAAGCTGTGATCGTACCACTGCACTCCAGCCTGGGTGACAGAGTAAGACCCTGTCTCAAACAAAAACAAAATAACAACAAAAAAAAAATTTAAGGGGTACAAATGCACTTTTGTTACACAAATGTATTGTGTAGTGATGAAGCCTGGGCTTTTGGTATATCCATCACCCAAACAGCGTACATTGTACCCATTAAGTAATTTCTCATCATCCACCCACTCTCACCCCTCTCAGGTTTTGTTGTTTTTGTTGTTTTACAGAACGGGTCTCGCTATGTTGCCCAGATTGGCCTCAAACTCCTGGGCTCAAGTGATCCTCTTGCCTCAGGTTCACAAGTAGCTGAGACTATAGGCATGCATCACTGTGCTTGTTTCAGTTTTCAGAAAGCCTACATAGGTCGCCAGGAGTGGTGGCTCATGCCTGTAATCCCGGCACTTTAGAAGGCTGAGGCAGGTGGATCACCTGAAGTCAGGAGTTCGAGACCAGCCTGGCCAACATGGTGAAACCCCGTCTCTACTAAAAATACAAAACTTAGCTGGGTGTGGTGGCACATGCCTGTAATCCCAATGACATGGGAGGCTAAGGCAGGAGAATTACTTGAACCCATAAGGCAGAGGCTGCAGTGAGCTGAGATTAAGCCACTGGATTACAACCTGGGTAACACAGCGAGACTCCATCTCAAGAAAAAGAAAGAAAGAAAGAAAGAAAGAAAACCTATATAGGATGTATATCATAGATAATGTGGCCTGCCTCCCACCCACACCAGAATCAAGGATGTTACTCCGTAATCAGATACGGTAGTTAACAGTTTTGCAGCAGCAAAAATGCCACACCAAGGGGGACAAAGAAAAGTCATACACTGCCTTATGTCATGGCAGGACGGATTTTGCAGCCAAATGAGTTCTCATACCAATGGTGCAAGAACAACAGACTTTCAGTTCTGGGATTTCAGAACTGCAGCTAAGACCTATATTAGTCTCTAATCTTTTCAGTCAGTCCTTTTTAAATAGTTCACATACATTTTTTTAAAGGGCTATAAAAAATAGGTAGAAAAAAAACTTTGAAATTTATAAAAGGTAGTGAAAATTATTATTAAAGTCTAGAACTCAGGCAACAAACTGAAAGGCCTTGGGGTCCAGGCGCCAAGGTGGCCTGGAGAGCTGACCCCCTCTAAGGAGCCTTTGCTCCTGCCAGTGGCCAGGGAAACTGCTCACTGCACCAAGCCACCACACAGACACGGGTACAGTCTTACCAGATCTTCTGGTTTATTAAGAGGAGCTGGAAATCTGGTGCTTTCTGGGAATTTAGTTGACAATGGCCAAATAAAACACAACTGTGGGCCTTGTTTTCAGTCTCCAGTCTGGGAAGTGGATGTGAAATATCACCTAACGAATCCCTTGTTCAGAAAACCCTCCATTGCAGTGCTTGAAGAGGCCCGAGGCATTCGTAACCTAAAGGCTCACAACCCCCTGCAATTTTGCATGTTTTTGCACATAAGCATTTTGGGGGAATAGGGATCAGATCTAAATATTTCATCATATTCTCAAAGGAGCCCATATACCTGAAAGGGTTAAGAACCACTCATCTGGGCCAGCTCCCCTCATTCTATACAGGAAGAGGCTGACCCAGAGGGTGAGAGGCTTGCCTGAGGTCTCATAGCAAATCACTGGCAGAGTGTGGCTAGGTCAATTGGAGAGGCGACTCTCACCCCCCACCCTCGTTTACCCAGCTTTCATCAGGTTTGCTGCTGGCCTGGCCTGGTCCAGTCAGTGGACAGTCTCACCTGTGTGGGAAGCCCGGCCCGGGGTTGGGAGGTCAGAAGAGCTCCCTGGGTTTGCTGAGGTAGCTGGAATAGATTTGGTGTCGGTAGCAGGCCTGGAGAGACAAGGGGAAATGCACAGGGTGAGGGGAGGGGAAAGTGAGGAAGTTCTGTGGAGGTATCAGGGAGGCCATCTGGGGTGGGGGCCTTACCTGGCTGGCTCTGCTGGGCCTGCGGCAGCAGGAACTGAGCAGGTGGCTGGAGGTGGTGGCCTGGCACAAGCACCAGCTGCTGGAGCTGGAGGAGCTGCTGTATATCCTGGCAGGGAGGGGGGTGGACAGAAAGACAGCCTGAGTCCCAGCCGGGTTCCATCGTCTCTGCATCACCTGAACCCTGAGGGACTAAAATCAGGAAGCTGCTCCACATGGCCATCTGGCACTGGGCACTGAGGGATGCCACCCAGTCTCTGAACAGCATCCCTGAGCTAAAGGGCACCCAGAGGTTTCTCTCTGCTGTGGGGTACCAGAGGGTCCCAACTAGGCAGTCCTGGGAGGGCTCATTCTTTATTTACCTTTTCTTTCTTGATGAAGTATTTGCCTTGTCTTAACATTTCCACAGAACAAATAGAATCACTTAAAAATATAAGCCAGGCTGGGTGCAGTAACTCATGCCTGTAATCCCTGCACTTCGGGAGGCCAAGGCGAGCAAATCACCTGAGGCCAAGAGTTTCAGACCAGCCTTGCCAACATGGTGAAACCTCGTCTCTACTAAAAATACAAAATTAGACGGGTGTAGTGGTGCATGGCTGTAGTCCCAGCTACTCTGGAGGCTGAGGCAGGAGAATTGTTTGAACTTGGGAGGCAGAGGTTGCAGTGAGCCGAGATCACACCCCTGCACTCCAACCTGAGTGACAGAGTGAGACTCTGTCTCAAAAAAACAAATACAAAATAGGCCGGGTGCGGTGGCTCAGGCTTGTAATCTCAGCACTTTAGGAGGCTGAGGCAGGCAGATCATCTGAGGTCGGGAGCTCGAGACCAGCCTGACCAACATGGAGAAACCCCGTCTCTATTAAAAATAAAAAATTAGCCCGTCTTGGTGGCACAGGCCTGTAATCTCAGCTACTTGGGAGGCTGAGGCAGAGAATTACTTGAACCTGGGAGGCGGAGGTTACAGTGAGCTGAGATTGCACCATTGCACTCCAGCCTGGGCAACATGAGCAAAACTCCAACTCAAAAAATAACAAATAAATAAAAACAAATAAATAAAATTGTAAACCAGACCAGGTGTTTCCTCCCTTAAAAACATTCCCAAGGCAAATGATATCATGTCTGGAATTAGCTTTAAAATACTCCAGCAAATAGTATAAATTAGTACAACCACTTTGGGAAGCTCTTCAGCACTGCTATAGGTTGCACTGTGTCTCCCCGCCCCCGCACATCCTGCCACCCCCCAAAAAGATACGTTGGAAACCTAACCTCTAGAACCTCAGAGATTAACCTTATTCAGAGATAGGGTCTTTGGCAGAGGATCAAGTTAAAATGAGGTCATTCGGGTGGGCTCTAATCCTATATGACTGGTGTCTTTTTTTTTTTTTTTTTTTTTTTTTTGGTATGGAGTCTCGCTCTTGTTGCCCAGGCTGGAGTGCAATGGCGCAACCTCGGCTCACCGCAACCTCCGCCTCCTGGGTTCAGGCAATTCTCCTGCCTCAGCCTCCTGAGTAGCTGGGATTATAGGCACGCGCCACCATGCCCAGCTAAATTTTTGCATTTTTAGTAGAGACGGGGTTTCACCGTGCTGACCAGGATGGTCTCGATCTCTTGACCTCGTGATCCACCCGCCTCGGCCTCCCAAAGTGCTGGGATTACAGGCTTGAGCCACCGCGCCCGGCCTATGACTGGTGTCTTAATAAAAAAGGCAAATTTGGCTGGGCGCGGTGGCTCAAGCCTGTAATCCCAGCACTTTGGGAGGCCGAGGCGGGTGGATCACGAGGTCAAGAGATCGAGACCATCCTGGTCAGCACGGTGAAACCCCGTCTCTACTAAAAATGCAAAAATTTAGCTGGGCATGGTGGCGCGTGCCTATAATCCCAGCTACTCAGGAGGCTGAGGCAGGAGAATTGCCTGAACCCAGGAGGCGGAGGTTGCGGTGAGCCGAGGTTGCGCCATTGCACTCCAGCCTGGGCAACAAGAGCGAGACTCCGTCTCAAAAAAAAAAAAGAAAAAGAAAAAAAAAAAAAGGCAAATTTGGACATAGACGAGGATAAAGCGAAGATGGTGTGGAGAGACACAGGGAAAAGACAGTAACCTACAAGCCAAGGAGAGAGGCCTGGAACAGATCTCCCCATCACGGCCCTCAGAAGGGACAGATTCTTCCTTAACTGCTGACACCGTGATTTCTGACTTCCAGCCTCCAGAACTGTGAGGCAATACATTTCTCTCAAGTCACCCAGTTTGTGGTTCTTTGTTTTGGCAGCCCTAGCAAACGAATACAGGCGCTATCTAAGAAAGCTGAATATATACCTCCCTTATAACCCAGCAACTCCACTCCTGCATATAACCCACCATAAATGTGTACGTGTTTACCACAAGACATGTACTACAACGTTCACATGGACCATTTGAAATATGCAGGACTTGAAGATAGCTCAAGTGCCCACAACAGTAGAATAGGTAAAGAAACTGTTTCAGTGGAAGCCACAGCAATGAGAATGAGCAGTCCACAAGTCACAGTTACATGCCACAACATAGACTTCCCAAACATAATCAGTGAGAGAGCTAGTCTTGACAGAGAACAACCTGTATGATTCTAATGGCTGAAGTTTGGGGAGAAAAGGCTGAAAAGTGACACCAGGGAGCTTCTGGGGGCTGGCCACATTGTTTCTAGATCTGGGTGCCAGTTCCATGGGAGTGCTCATAGCTGTATACCTATGATTTGTGCACTTTTATATATTTATTATATTTTATTTTTTTATTTTATTTATTTTTTTTTTTTGAGACGGAGTTTCGCTCTTGTTACCCAGGCTGGAGTGCAATGGCACGATCTCGGCTCACCGCAACCTCCGCCTCCTGGGTTCAAGCAATTCTCCTGCCTCAGCCTCCTGAGTAGCTGGGATTACAGGCACACACCACCATGCCCAGCTAATTTTTTGTAGCTTTAGTAGAGACGGGGTTTCACCATGTTGACCAGGATGGTCTCGATCTCTTGACCTTGTGATCTACCCGCCTCGGCCTCCCAAAGTGCTGGGATTACAGGCTTGAGCCACCGCGCCCGGCTCTATTTATTATATTTTAATAAAAATATGTTTTAAGAGTTGGGTGGGGGAAGTGCAAAAAATATGTTTTAAGACAGGGCCAGACACAGCGGTGTGTGCCTATAATCCCAGCACCATGGGTGGTTGAGGCAGGAGGACTGCTTGAGGCCAAGAGTTCAGTACCAGCCTGGGCAACATAGTGAGACACACCCCCATCTCAAAAAAAAAAAAAATCCTTGTTTGCATAGCAGTGAGTAAAAAATAAAGTAAAATAAAGGGAAAAAAGCAGAATGAGGTAGGAAAAGAGGGAGAGAAAAAAAATCCAATCCTCCCCCCACCAAAAATGAAGAGTTTCGATGAAATCCTATTTGCCAGTAGGACTGGTAAAATACTGGTATCTATTGAGCTTGCTGAAGAGTATGTGGGGTTCTTGACATCATTCTCTCTACTTTTACGTTTAAACATTTCCAAAAGAAAAAGCAAAACCGCCTTCCAGACACAGTCCAATGGCTTCTCATAGCTCTCAACAATGCAAACAAAACTCCTCACCTTCCTACAGGTCCATTTATACTGAGGCCTGTGCTCATCTTCCTGCTCATCTCCCACCGCCCTCTCCCACCATGGCTATGCTCCAGCCATTCAGCCCTTTTTCCGTTTTTTTTTTTTTCAAATGTACCAAGCTTGTTCCTGCCTCAGGACCTTTACACATGCTGTTCCCTCTACTGGGCAGTTCTACTTCTGACACTTATGCCTGGGTCCTAACACAAAGTCACCCTCTCAGAGGTGCCCTCTTTGACCATCCAGTCTATACCAGCCAGCCTCCTGGCTTCCCTTTATCAGCCCATTTCATCTCCCTCACAAGGCTTATCACCATCTCTAGGCATTGCTCTTCCTGTTTACCCATTCATGGCCTGCCCCTCTCACTGGAACGTCAGGACCATGAGAGCGTGATCTTAACTGTTTCAGTCACCACTGTATCCTCAGCACCTAGAACAGCACCTGGCACCCAGTAGGTGTTCCATATAGATACATTAATAAACCAAGACTGATGCTTCATCATTTACTTGGCAAATTTTAAGTAGAGTTGAAACCTGTAACATGTTACTTACAATTTTTTCCTTCTGGGAAATTGTGGGTGTTGGCACATGCCCCCTCAATTCTTCCCAATGCTATTATTATTTCAAAGACCAATTTGATGTGCCAGGAAGTGAACAAACTGGGAAAATATATAAGCAATTCGGCAGAAGGAGTTCATTTCTTTAATATACAGTGATTTTGAAAGTAACTATATAATTTAAAAAAGAAGAAGAAAAATAACGATTACAAATCCATAAGAAAAAAACTGACAACTCAGTAGTAATGTGGCTGACAGGTCTGGAGAGTGTTCAGTGAAATAAATGTGAACAACTCTGGATAGAAATACACTAAGATTCACTTGCAATAAGATAAACACGACTGCAGTTACACTGAGATAACATTTTTACCTCTCAGATCACCAAAGATAAAAATAGTGTGTAATATTACATTGGAGAGTATGGGAAAACACACATTCTTGTACATGCTGGTGAGAAGGTGATTTGGCAATGTCTATCAAAATTACAATTGCACACAGCCTTCAACTCTGCCATTCCACTGCTAGAAATTTATCTATTCTCACACTTGTGCTAAATGACCTCTCTAGAAGGCTACTCCCAGCAGCAAGTGGCATTCTAGCAAAAGAGTAGAAGGCAGCTGAGCATGCAGCAAGAGAGGACAGGTTGAATGAATGAGAATAGAGCTCTACAGTGGAATACTATGCAGTCATGAACAAGAATGATGAGTCACTTTGTATCCTGATATGGAACAATCTGCAGGATGGCCTGTTGAGTGGAAAGTTCAAGAGGCAGAACAGAGGGTATGACGATGCTACTGTTTTTTGTGTAAAAAAAAAAAAATGTATATCTCAATACTTGCTTGGGTATGCATAGCTGATGTCTGGAAAACTGAATCAGAAGGCCACATTACAAATCCATCCATACCTCTGGGATTTGAAACACGTACCTGGTCTGAGTAAATAAAATATCCCAGT